GAGGTGACACCATGGTGCTGTCCGCCAACGACAAGACCAACGTGAAGGGCGTCTTCTCCAAAATCAGCAGCCATGCTGAGGAGTATGGAGCCGAGACCCTGGAGAGGTACGTGTCCATCCTCGTCGTCATCCCCTCTCCTGTCTGTCCCTGACTCCCTCCCATCTGACCCTCTCCCCATCCACAACTGTCCCTGTTCTGTGCGACTGTCTCATCTGTCCCCATCTGTCCCTGACCCCCTCTGTCCCCCAGGATGTTCACCACCTACCCCCAGACCAAGACCTACTTCCCCCACTTCGACCTGCACCACGGCTCAGCTCAGGTCAAGGCGCACGGCAAGAAGGTTGCGGCTGCACTGATCGAGGCTGCCAACCACATTGATGACATCGCGGGTGCCCTCTCCAAGCTCAGCGACCTCCATGCCCAAAAGCTCCGTGTGGACCCTGTCAACTTCAAAGTGAGTGTCTGGGAAGGGGTGACCAGCCCGGCTCTTCTCTTGCACCCCCTGGCCATCCCCTCGCCTCATCCCCTTGCTCACCATCTCCTTTTGCCTTTCAGCTGCTGGGCCAATGCTTCCTGGTGGTGATGGCCATCCACCACCCCTCTGCCCTGACCCCGGAGGTCCACGCTTCCCTGGACAAGTTCCTGTGCGCCGTGGGCAATGTGCTGACTTCCAAGTACCGTTAAGACGGCACCATGGCTAGAGCTGGACCCAACCCACTGCCAGCCCTCCGACAGCAAGCAGCCAAATGATCTGAAATAAAATCTGTTGCATTTGTGCTCCAGCCCTGGCGTCCTGCTCTGGTTGCTGCCTGTGGGGAGGGAGCGGGAGGGATCTGCTCTCAGGGTCCGAACTGGGGGTCACCCCTGCCGTGGGCACATGGAGGAAATGGGCTCTGGTTTTGCTGTCTCAGAGACGCAGCGTTTGGGTGGTGGTGCCTGGCAGGCAGACACTGCTCTGCCAGCCGTGGGGGTCTGGGAGCAAGCAGAGCATTTCCAGGCACTGGTGGAGGAGAAAGACTAAGCGAGAGTGGCCAGAGTCTAGCCCTTGGAAGCTTCCTGCAGTCCCAGCCTGTCCCGGCCTTCTCACCAGAGTGCCACGCTGGGATCCTCTCTTGCCCCATGCACCCCGTGCATCCCTTGCCTCTGTTCAGGCCAAATTGTTGGAGATCACCTTGTCCTGGAAGTGCTTGCGGGAGATGGTGGGGAATGGGGGCTCCCGGCGCCTATGATCCTCTGCGTGGTGGCACAGTGAGGACACCCTGAGGACCTCCAAGCGCAAGGGCATCTTTCTGTGCATCCCCAGCACACAGGGCTGTGCGACATTGTAGGACTTTTTCTCTTTACACCTAATGCTGCATTGCTGGGGTGTCACTTTGGAGGGGTCCTGGGGGGCCAGCAGGCTGGGGGAGACAGTGGGCATGGGGGACTGCAAGGGGAGCAGACAGGGCAAAGCCCCAGATCCTGCTCCCTGGGCCCTGAACCGCAGCGGGGTAGGGGGTGTCAGGGCAGGAAAACAAGCACAGGCAGCAACAGGCAGCACAAGTGGCACTGGGTGCCTCAGTGCTGGTGTCTGTGCAGCCCCCAGTCCTTATCGCAGCCCTCAGCAGGGCGGCCGCAGTTGGGGGGGCTGCGGACGACTGATAAAGGAGAGCATGGGCTCTCCTCCAGCTGTGGGTGTGGTGGGAGATGGGGCAGCAGATAGCCCTGGGGGGCTACAACCTGCCAGGTGCTGAGTAAGGCTGCCCCATCCCTGCCAGGGCTGGGAGGTGCTTGGTGCTGGGGTGAAGGTTCGAGAAAGCCCCAGGGCGGCTGGCGCAGCAGAGCCAGAGCATGGAGCCAAGCTGAGGTTACCATGGGCCCCTTTGCTCTCTGGCATTTGCAAGGATGGACACTTGCCCCAGCCCCACGGCCTCCAGCCACTATCAGTGAACATATCAGAGGCAGGAGAGACCCCAAATGAGAGAGAGACGCCCTCCAGCCCCCAGGGTTTCTCCTGCAAAGCACTCCAGGCATCGTGACCCCCATATGCCCACCACACCTGGGCACGGTGAGGAGGGGAAGACAAAGCTGGTCAAGGCATCACTGACCAACCTGATCTACCTTTGCATGGAGCAGTGTGTTGGAGCAGGTTGCGCCCTTCCAGCCGACATCACCCAGACATAGCTGTGAGCACAGCTCTGCTCCACAGAGCCTCTGCTCCCTGAGGAGCTCAGGGGGACCAGGGGCATGGTGGGGGGTGGCAGTCAGGGCACACAGGTATGCAAGGTGGTGTGGACTAGTGTGTAAAGCACCGGGAAGAGCCAGCATCCAGCACAGAGTTGGGATGCTCCAAACCCAGCCACAGAGGACCCTCGCAGGGTCCTTATGCACATGGTGTATGCATAAGAGGCAAGGTGTAAAAGCAACACAGGGGACGGTATGTGCGTGGAGGGGAAGGGGTTGGCAGTCGTCCCCACCGCCTCTGCCAGGCTTTCACTTCCAACCACCCCCATGCTGTGTTGTGTCCTTAGGCAGGACATGCTGTGTGGCAGTGGGCAGTGGCCTGGCTCTGCAGCGCTTTCCCAGGGCTCTGCCTGGCCAAAGAACCGCTGAGCTCCGAAGAGCCGGCATGAGTTTCGTCCTAGCCATTTGTCCCTGCTGCCACAAGATGGGGACCTCAAGCTGTGGTGCTTTATCGGGGCCAGGCAGAGGGTGCAGAGGGCCAAGCCTTGGTCCTGCCTGCAGGGCTGAGCTGGAGCCTCCAGGCAGGGAGAAGCAAGGCTGCCAGGATGGGCTTCCAGCCAGCCCCAGGTCCCAAGCACACTGGGGACACTGGTGCCAGCTCGGAGGGGTGCAGGAGCCCTCCCCAGCAGCCCATTTCCAGTGCTGGGTGCCCCAGCAGCCAGACACCCCACGCCTCCCAGCTCATAGCACAGGGGCTATGAGCCCTGGGCTTCCTTCACTGGGCATCCCTTGGTGGCCATGGCTTCGTGTGCCCCAGGACACAGCCTGCCCCATGGGCCAGACACGCTGGCAGCAGCTTTCTACAGCTTGACTCTCCCTGAGCTAGCGTTCCTGCCCAGCTGCCTCGGGACCTGCAGGCAGCGCAGCAGCAATGGTCTGGAGCTGGGCAGGTCAAATATTTCCCCCACTGCCTGTCCAGGTTGGTTTTGCAGCTTGTATTGCTGCAGCCCTGGTGCTGATGAGGTGGAGGCAATCTCTGCATTGCCACAGCAGTGGCAGCCCGAAATGACGCCAGGCGATGTGGAGGAGGTGGACGTGGGGGGCAAAGCCCCCTGACCCAGGCCACGGCAGAGCTCAGGAGGCAGAGTCACAGTAGGCAGCTTCAGGGGAAGAAGGAAGATGAACATCTTCAAGTGAGACAAAAGCCTGTTCCGACGTCTCCACTATCTGGAGGCCTTTCTCGACATTCATCAGCATTTATTCTTGATGGACAAAGCATCTATGGTTCAAAGATACCCACAGAACAACACAGTATTTTGTTATATGATAGTCACCAAGGCAAGTGGCATCTCAGAGCTCATTTTTATTGAAAGAGGCACTAAAATGACATCAGGAAACAAGCTTGATAGTTACGACTTACCTGATCACAACACTGTTACCCGTCTCAAGGGATTGCCAACAGTGTTGTCCAGGTACCTCGGATACTACTCTTATTAGCGTCTGATAAAAAGCCATGGCCCTAGAGAGTGCATCCTGGAAAGGGACATGGAAGTACACACTTCTGGAGGAGGTCAAGCATCCTGGGGGAGTTTACCAGGAATTTCCCATTCAAAATTTACCAGGGAAGCAGTGGGAAGATACAGAATGGGTTTATTACTGGAAGCTGATCTTAGGACACCAGCTGAGAGATCCTCTTGCTGGAGAGATGAGGGAAAACATTGTTTTACAAACTGTTCTTCTGTTTATGCATCCCATATTGGCATTCAATATGCCAATAGCATAACTCATGATTGATGCAGCCTATAGGTCTTTTGCTGAAAAACTGCTGTGTAAGCAGTTCGTTTGCCTTGTGGTTATGTTGAAGATTATCTTAAGTTTTACTGAATCTTTCTATGTTTGGTTGTGAAATAATCAACTATAAGAACATCTTGATTTCAAGAAGTTAGCCTCTATTTTAGCGTTATGTATGGGTTGCTGTGTTACTTGTTTTCTGAGGCTGTGTTGCTTGAAGTCCCTATTCTCTGGACCCTCTAGACCATAACCAGAGCCCCGAGGTTCTATCGTATATAGGATGAGTTATTTGACAACCTGGCAAGGTAGATATCTAGCTGGCCAACTTGGCAACAAAACTTACTTTTAAGGTGTCCTGAAGTGAACTGCCTTCATTATAATACTAAAAAACACACCCACAGGTCAAGAAGACCCTTGCCCAGGTGAAGACCCTCCACTTGCGCACGCGTAGTAACAGAAGAGAATGACACAACCGATATTATAATTATATGTAAATCACTAACCAATTATTGTAACTGGGAGTGTATTACCTTATAATTTCTGTGTATAAATGTAACGGTGATCTGGCCATAGGTGTGCTTGATTTGTGGAAATTCCACCTTGCACCCAGCGCCGCAATAAAGAATGCCTGCTTTCTAAAACTCCACACTGAGTCTTCGAGAGTTCTTCATCTGCCGACTTACGGTAACAGTTGGACAGTTACTCTTTCCTAAACGTCAGATTTTCCATACTGAACTGATTTCTCCAATTTGTCTAGATCATTTTGAATTTTAAACCAGTGCTTTGGGGTCCCCACAGCCCCTCCAGCTTAGGCACATCTGAGAATTGAATAAGCGCATTCTCCATTACAACACATAACTTATTGATGAAGGAACAGTGAATAATAATGTTGAACCAAGGACTGGAATCTGTCACAGAAGGAAAACAGACTCATCTGAAATGATTCATTCTTGGCAATGGCCATGGTTATTACTCATCTCTTTCTTCGATTAAATGTCCCACTTTTTTTTGTGATTCGAAGTTGACTGGTTTATGGTTCCTTAGTTTCCTCCTTTTACCCTGCTAATGATAAGAGACCCTATTTTCTTGTTTCTGCGACCCCATCACCCTCCGCTGCTTCTCAAAGATACTGGCTCTGTGGAGATGGCTTCCATCAGTTGCTGAGGTAAAGGGGCATTTTTTCAGGCCAACAGTCTGAAACCACCAGAATGATTGAAATACACTTTAATCCACAGTTTTTAGGATCCTCCCACCTTCTCCACTAGCTGTTTTGCCAGTGGGAAAAAGAAAAGTGGTCATAGAAGACAGAAAATAGAGTCAGCCTTCATTAAAATGCCAATTTTGATGAAGGACTTCAAATATTTTCTCTCCTTCCTTTCCTAAAGCAGAGACTGCTCCCAGCAGAGCAGCCGCATCAAGCACAGCTGTACAAGCCCCTCCAGACAGGACGGGGCTGATAAAAACAAGTATTCGCAGAACTTAAAACATTGTCTGCTCTCCTTTGCCATCACAAAAAGTTCAACATTGCAAGCAACATCTTGGAAAACCTTTTTGCTGATGCCCCTCAGAGCTGACCTGTGAGGAGCCCAGGTCTCGTCCCATGAGCCCCCGTGACCAAAAAGCCATTAAGCATCACGAATCCCCCGTCCTTGGAGATGTTCACAACAGAATCCAGGTCTTGGATCTTATATCTGGGAGAAGGAGCAGATCTGTGGTAACACGACATTGGCCACTGATGCCTTCTCAGTGCTGTCGCTGCTGTTTTGGAGCCATTCATCAACTAAACGGCAGAAGCTTTCCACACTTACTTTGCACTGGTTTTCCACCT